TTGATATACATTAAAAATACATTTACTTACAGTAAATATGCCCCTGGGTGCATTTTATTTGGTTCTAGGACTGTTTTTTTAAGAAGTACATACCCAAAGTTGAGTACAAAAACCTTTAAAAGTGAATTTTGCATAATAGGTCNGGGAGCAGCAGCGGTCAGAATAACTCAGAAACTCAAACAAATAGGCTTTAACAAGGCTTTAATAAGCTAAACAATAGAGCTACATGAGAAAATGTGTTCATAATGAATGAAAATAAACAATTAAAATGTGTCTGTGCTGGTCTCAAACCCCGGTCTCCCACTCTGTGGTCCAAAACTCTACCCATTGCCCTATTGGAGGCCTGTTGCAAAATGAGCTGCGCATTRCACAACTATGATGGCTTTTTATACTGAGGAGGTGGAGCTTCACCAGGGGGTTGCTAGGTAAGGGGCTGAACGCAGGTTCCGGTGGGTTGTCGTACGGCTTGTGAAATCACAAATGATGGAAGTATAAAACTTGTCATTGATATACATTAAAAATACATTTACTTACAGTAAATATGCCCCTGGGTGCATTTTATTTGGTTCTAGGACTGTTTTTTTAAGAAGTACATACCCAAAGTTGAGTACAAAAACCTTTAAAAGTGAATTTTGCATAATAGGTCCCCTTTACGTAATATGTTAGGACTCTGTATTTACTCAGGWTGACTTTCAGCCAGGCATTTAGCTACTGAGGTGTTGGAGCGTCATAATGATGCCCTGTTTGTTTTTTTTTCTTTTGTTTTGATACACTCTTTTAATTGGCGACGCCTTGGGAGACGCCCTCAGGGTAGTGAGCAAACTTTGGGTTTGCTGCAAGTTTGTATTTAATTTTCTTTTTCTTTAGATAAATTTTGTAGAATTCCTTAAACTACATAAGCAGTGGCGGGGCTGACCACAATTATTTTCTGAACCCAGGGGAAGACACACGAGGAATGAATTGCACCAGCTTGGATGGAGGAGGTGAGTAGCGATTTTAGAGCAGCAACTGTGGTGTGTTGTTTTCACAATTTTGGCTCCCAGTCCRTCCGTAGCTTTATGCAAATTGTGTAAACTTCTGCAAACTTTGTAAGCAGTTTGCTTATTTTTTGAAGCCAGTGGAAGGCACATTAACAAGAAATTGTGCCAGCGTAGATAGAGGAGGTGGGTAGTGTGTTTTCATCTGCAGTAGCTCTGCTTGTGCGGTGTTCTCACAATCTCTGATCCCTATCTGTTCGTACCTTTTTTTAAAAAAATTGTACGCTTCCGTAAACTTTGTAAGCAGGGGGGTGGGGTGGGGGCGTCTTGCTTAAAGTGTCGACACCCTCGACCAAAATCCTACCTAAAAGCCTGCTTACAGAAAGTTAATCAGTTGTGTGCGTGCAGTGATTACTTTCAGCTAAAGTTGAACAGTGATTCATTAACACACACACACACAAGCAACAGTATAATCATATTTTTCAATCAGTGGCAGGTGATGAAAAGAGATGAATAAATTGAGTCTGTGTTAAGTGTTCTCGGCCAAGAAAGTGTTCCTGAAACACAGCAGAACAGGTGTACCGAGTCTCTAGAAATGAAAAAAAAAGTGCTGTTGAGCCCTTTGGCAGTGTTGTAGTCCTCATTCAGCAAAAAATATTAATAAATAAATTTTTAAAAAATGACAGGATCACTTTTTTCCTCAAACAGCCAACTTACAAGATCCGTCTCCAAAAAAGTCTAGGTGCGATTTTTACACTACAGATGATATCTAATGACAGAAGCCATTTCCCTTTATGCAAAAYCCTATTGTGTTTTATTCCCCTTCTCTTATGTTTAAAAAGCTTCTGTCAAGGATATGCACAATAACAGACAGTTGTTAAAACAGTCTTGCTCCTTTTGAACAGCTTTCATCTTTGTCCTTTTTTGCTCAAGAGGTAGAAACACTTGATTCAGACTCTACTCAATGCAACTACCTTGTCTGTCACCGTAGATACAGTTTTATGAGAATAAAAGTCACAAAGAGAAGTACTGCTGTAGGGCATGTTTCTCAAATAAAATCACACTTAACAGTGAGGTCAGCTTTGCAAACCTCTTAGCTTTCCTAAACCCACTTTATTCAACTTCTGCAAATGGAGACACTAATCCAGTCCAGAGCTATGAACTCCAGAGGCTCTATTTAAACCTTAGTTTGGAAAAATAAATATATGCTTGACTTGTCCATGTGGGAGTCTGAAGTCAAGGTTACATTCAAATGCACCAGTGAGCATTGTGTCCATCTGACTGAGAGAAAACGCTCTAATAAAATGTTCCCCCCTGACGACAAACACTAAGACAGACTTGACGATGCCCTTAAATTAAGGCTTGCAGTTGTTTTGACAGAAGTGTTTACTTTTTTTACTAACAGGGAAAAGACTCTGGAGAGCAAATCATTGCTGATTTGTGTGATGTGCAAATAAATGCATAAATCGAACTGATGCTCAATAAGCAGCATTTGCAAACTCCACACATGAAAAATATCCATGTTGGCATGAGGGCTCACGATTTTAGGCGCTTTTCTAAAGCTGCTGTTAGGCTAAAACGTCGATTTGCTTCTTTAATAAACAAAAAAAATGTCTCAGAATTATAAGGGGAAGAGCAATTTATAGTGTAAAGCAACAGAATGAAAACATGTCTGTGAATAAGTGGGGGAAAGGCGTTTATTTTACTCTTATAGAAACTCATCAGCAACTCCGCCTGTGTCATTTTTTACCTGGAGTGAAGATTCATTGAAAGAGTAGCTTCTTTTCACGCATCCTGAATTAGTTGTGYGCTTCTCTGTAGTGGCACAAGAGCTTTTCTTTTTCTTTTCTTTTCTTTCTTTCTTTTTTTACACAACCAAATCAGTTTATCAACACCATTACAGACAGCTTTTCAAAGAGCGTTACCTGTGCCTATGCTTTCTTCATTTRGAGCTGTAATGAGCCAGGCTACCTGTGAGCATTATCATTAACAAGTGAGAAAGGGGAAAAGGCACCAGATAGGAAGTTTTAAAGACTTGAGTGAGCTCAGCACTCTAGTTTAATTCTATCACTGTGTTCTCTTATTTTTAGATACACTGTATGTATGCCAGTCAGCAAATAGATACTTTTGCCAACTCCTGTATTTTAAAGCTCTCTGTGCAGGATGACAGATAATCTAATWTCTATAGGAAGAGTTTATACTCTGGGATATGATGTGGGTTCATTCTAAGGCTGAAGAAAACAAATAACTTTATTAAAGGCCTGACTTAAAGCATAATTAAAATGATTAAAACTGAAAGTGGTCTGCACCTTCAAATATTAGGCTATAGAGGCTCATTCAGATTACCCAAATATTTAAAAAATATAAAAAAATAAATAAATGAGTGGGAATGATACCTGCGTTTCTCAGCTTGCGGTTCCTGAACACCGAGATGATGACCAGCAGGTTCCCCAGCACATCCACCACCGTGGTGAAGATCAGGACACTGGCCAAGATAGCGATGACCCAGGCGGGGCGGGCGGTCGCCTCCGGGGCCAGGCTGCGCTCCAGCTGCCCCAGCCGTGGCTCTGTCCGGTTCTTTATCAGCGCTAGCGTGTCAGGCATCACTGGCGCCCCCCTCGGAGAGTCCCCAGCTCCTGCTCTCTTAGGTCCCGCAGGTACCGTCGGTACCGGCGTGTCCGGGACGAAACATGGAGCGCACCTCTCTCTCTCCCTCCACACGCCAAGTTCCACGAGAGCGCAGGGTTTTTTTGGGAAGTCGCGCTACTTAAAGGCGACAATTAGTTGCTGAGGCGGTCACGTGTGACGCACGGAGTTTAGTCTTGGCCGCTCGTCAGCGCATCTTCGCGGTGGTCCATTCATGTCCCCGCAAACACATGGAAACACCTCCCGTTGGCGCCACACCTCCTCTCCGGGCTTGTTTTAGAAGGTATTTCTCAAAGCAACACATTCGAAGTCTCCATCTTCTTCGAGTGGCTCAGTTGTCGAAAGGTTGGTCAAAAGAAGTCAGTTTTTTCTTCTAAAAATGTCACCCAGCTTTTTCAACCCCAGGTGTCCTTCTTGGGTTAATATGCTAAATGGAGAGATTTCTCGTGTCCGCTTTTACGCGCTGGTCTGGCTTGACGCACCTGGAGCTGCGCGCGCGGCGAAGCGAGAAGCACCCGGTGAGACGCACATCCTGATGTGGTGAAATCCACGGACAGAGAGGGGGAGAGAGAGCGAGACAAAGAAGGGAGGAAAGAGATTCAGGCTTCTCGCTGTCCCTCCTCTCCTCACCTCCACAGACAGCTCCTCTTCGTGCCCTTTTTTTTATTACGCGTGCGAACATTTATTTTTTTCCCCACCTTCAGTCTCGCGCTGCCTTTTCCCCTCAGCGTGACCTCCCGGAATCTGCCTCTGATCTCAGCACAATGCTCCGAAGTGCTCCGTAAGTGGGGCTCAGCGGTGGGTCCAATCAGCACGCTGTGACTCCTGTGAGGCATTTCTCACGGGTGAGCGGGAGGACATTTTGAAAGTAAAACAATTAAAACAGACATTTTGTCACTACATGCTTTATTATTTTTTTTCCACTCAAAAAAATAAAAGCATTTAATGATTTTTAGGTCACAACGTGTTTTATCATGAACAGAATGAAGCAGCGTCTGGGATGGTAAAGGAGCTGACCAGACTGTTTTATCATAAGCACACAAAAACAAAAATATATTTTGGCCATGCACTACAATCAATAAATAATATTCATAATTTGCATTTTCTTGAGTTTAAGTGCATTTTTTGTTTTAACCGCAGCTGTAAAGTTGACTGTCCAAAAAAGAAATAAATAAATTGTAAAACAGATACATTTTAAAGCCATTTTATTTCATTTAAACCACTATAATCTAATCAGATAAAAGTTTTCACTTAAACCACCAAACATTTAAATGTTTACATAAAATATGTATTTTATGAGCTTATATATGCGATATATATTTAGGGTAATCTGAGTTCAAGGGATAGCCCTTTTTGAAGTGATGTTCTGCCAAATAATTATTAGTGTTTTTCTAAATCAGTCAGAGCATGAAGAGGGAAGCTTTCAACCAGGCTAGGCTAATGGGGATCTKGTTGATTTGACCCAGTTTTTATAGATTTTTACGGCTTTAATAAAAAAAGAGGTTTTCTCAAAAACATCTGCTGTGAGAGAACGCTACGTTAAACCTCTACATCAGGGCTATTCAAGTAAATTGCTCAGTGGGCTACATCCAGCAATCATTGCCCTTGATTTAACTTACAAATTGAAATATATTTTTAGTTTTTAATGAACTTATTGGCCAGCAAACTGAGTTGTATCACCCTGCCAAAGATTGTGCTTTATGGCTTGTTTTTTTCATGTCATGCCTGGACTTCTGTGCGCGCTTTATGCAAACAAAATATTGCAATTTTCATGTCAAGTTTAAAGTCAAGTCATTGTGATCATGACCCTGTTTTCTGGAGCACTGCTCTTTGCCTGCCCCTGAATCTGCCTGGTTTTCTTTTTGACTTCATGGTTTGACCCTCACCTGATTTATGACCCTTGCATGCTGGACATCTGTGCCATCTGTGGACCTATCAGGACCTTTCGGTGTCACTCACCTCTTTTGACAAAACCTCTGTCGGTCAACTGATTTTTGCAAAACCTTGGATACTGCGTTCCTGCACCCAGTCATATTCCTGTTTTAAATAAAAACCTTACTACATGTGTTGACAGGAATTTTGGGTCCATAATTCCAATTTGTTACACTCTGAATGAAATGTTTGTCATTTCTAATTCTCTCTGGCTTTTTTTTGTCTAGTTTTAATTAGTTAAACTCGTCGATGGGCCGGAGTGAGCTCACCTGCCAGCTGAACACACACTTTGTTGCCTTGATCCCAATGTAATGTTTATGTTATGATGATGCTGAGGTTGCTGAATGTTGCACATGAGCATTTAGTCAGTCCTTCATGCATCCTTTATCTATGACTGCTTATTAAGGTATTAATTGACTCAACATATATTCAAAAGTGGCCAGGATATTGCTTTAACTTTAGCAGTCTTATGATAAGAAGCTATATTTGAAGAGTAAAGTAAAAATTTTGCCAAAAAATAAAATAAATAAATACAGTGCAGATGCACAGGTTATTTGGGATGTACCTGGTCTGCTCTGTCTTTCAGTTACAAAGGATTGGGGGTCGGGGTGGGGGGATTACGACAACCTTGAGCATTTCTTCATCGTGTCATTTCTGGACTCTGGCACAATTGTGCACAGTCACACGGCAAGCGGAGGTGGCAGTTTAATCCCACTCATYCTTAACCGGTGGCAGCAGTGCAGTCAAACGCTCCATGAGACCCGAGCAGGTTCAAGACTCATCAATACTGTCAGTGCCAGTGGTGACACAATGAGGCCAGCGCCAGTCCCTTGTTTCACTCTTTCCTGCTGGACCGCAGCAGACGCCCTCAAGCCCAGCAGCAGGAACAGATTAGAGGCGCCCAGCCTCAGCCTCAAAGCGGGGTGATGTGTGTTCAACAGGCTTTATGTGATGACCAGGAGACAGACAGCTCTGGCTGCGAGGTCATCCACACTGACATCACACACACGGACTTTTTTATACGGAAAAAAAAAAACACTCTGAGATTCATAACAATAYGACGAAGGAAAATCAATGGTGTTGATGGGATAAAACACGAGTCTGCTAATTAAAAACTGCAGTTCTCTGATAATATTCTGCTGACTGAGAACATGCTTCCCAGTTGTTCGGCTTGCAGTCTCCTGCTCTGAAGGAAATTTCTGTAAGCCAAAGCATTTAGCTCTAGTGGTGCGGCCTAACACGTTGGAGATGCATGAATGCTGTTCCRAGCACAGAAACAGGATATTGAGACCACCCTCTTCAATAACCAGGATGACAGCTGCTCCATATGGCCATGTTTTTTGTGTTGTTTATTAATATTGATAACACAGACTCTCTTTGCTAACTCGCGTCATTGTTCAACATAGAGTTTTGTTAAAATCACCAGATGGTGTCACCAAAACATACTGTCTGGGGAGGATGGTGTCAAGRAAACAAGAGAAAACTAGCCAGACTATAAAAATGTTCTTTTTTCTGTGTCCTGGAATAATGATACAAGAGGAACCTTATTTATGACATCGCTTTAGAGACAAGTTCATCCATCCATCCATCCATCCATCCATCCATCCATCCATCCATCCATCCATTATCTTATCTTGTTTCTTCCTTTCAGGGTCACAGGGGTCATCATTATGCAAGGAGCAGAGTACACCTGAGACAGGTCACAAGTATCCCTAGCCTGGCCCTTGCCTTCCTACGCAGCTCTGCTCAACTCTAGTTTCCCTTCACTGCTCTGTCTGGGATTTCTCCCATTGAGATGGATTTCGCTGGCAGATTTTTAGCCGGGCCAATCAGAGAACAGAACGTCAATTTTCTGCACAGTGTCTTCTTGTAGTTTATTTTACCTGGGCCAATCAGAAAACAGAAGGAGCTTTGAACAATGCCGACTTTCTGCTCAGTGTCTGCTAGTTAGTTTATCATACGGCCGTGGAGGAAGTGAATGAAGCCAGTCTGTGTTGATAAGGCTTCCAAATTAAATCAAATTTGTCTGACAAAGCAGCAGCTCTCATTTAAAGCCGTCTCGTTCGGCTCGGTACTTTTCTCCTATCAGTACGGTTGTTTACAGCACACGCAATTTCCGGTTAGCTTCTTAGCTTAGCCTCCGTCACAGCGACATACGTCGCAGCCAACTGAKCCAATCATTTTAAACTTCAGCAGAGGCCACGCCTCCTTTAAGAAATCGATTCTCTATGCATCAAGTCCAGACCCTTGTATGAAAGCAAAGTGAAGGACAGGTTCTGGTTTAAACCAGGCTAAAGTATCCCTAAACYTGAGTATTATTATTGAAACAGAGGTTTTAAAAGAAGGTAGCTTATGCAACTAGTAACATTTTATTTTCTAGCATTTCTATATTTTATCATGGGYCTCCTTGATACCACTGTTTTGTATTTCTAAAGCTGCGAGTTTGAGCCCAGTTTGCATCAAGAAGGGCATCTGATGTAAAACAATTGTCAAATCTTCATGTGAGTGGCGACCCCTAGAGCAGAGGTTCTCAAACTGTAGTCACAGGACCCCCAGGGGTCCGTGAGAGGTATCTCGGGGGTCCTTGAAAAATTTCACTAAATTGCTAATTTGATTTTTATTTTTAAAAATGCATGCAGAACAACTAACTAATAAAACAAACATAATAAACTTAATAAAATATATATTCCCATGGCATTTAGGGGTTGAAATGACAATAAATTATCTTTTAAAGCAGTATTAGGTTTATGAGGGTCCCTGGAATATTTTCACTCTTGTAAGGGGTCCCCAGACCTGAAAGGTTTAAGAACCCCTGCCCTAGAGAACAGCTAAAAGAAAAAACAAGTTTTGATAATTTTTTTATGTAAAAAAAAATATAAAAATGTAGTATTGCTTAAAGGAAAGCATGTTCCAAAGTATATGACAAAAACCTTGTGGTTTTTTAGGTGGTAGAGCTGATTTTTAACTACCACCAAATCAAATTAGAGCTCAAAGTCAGCAAAACTGACAGACACATGTCTATATAAGCAATTGTAATTGGCTGTGGTATTACGCTGTTCGATACCACAGATTTTCTTTCTGAYTCTGATACCAAGTGAAATTCAGGCTGGAATCAATACTGATCTGAAGCTGATTCTTACACATCCAGGTGGAAGTAAAAGTAATTCTTACCACTCGCATATCATATGATTTCAACAAAATTTCAAAAGTTTAGTTACATCCTACTATCCATCTGAAAAGACTAAATTATTAAAGTATCAATATTTATYGGGAGTAATGAAATTTGACAAACAATCCTCACATCTCAACTGTAGTTGAATCAAACTGACTACAAAAGATAATTAATGTAATACAACAGTTTATTCATGAGAGTTTTAYTAAAATCTGTCAATGGTTCATGAGATACTGTGTTAGACAAACACGTATGTACACACAGTCAGTCAATAACACTTTGCCTGCCTTTCGCCGTGTCAGGCAATAAAAACTTTTCTGTTAAAGATCCACAAAGAGAAACATCTATTAATGGTTTTGTGACGATTTTATCAAATTATTTAGAGCCTTGTCGATGTGCGTTTGTTGAACTTCACTTTAAGTTTGGTGTAAAGTATCCACAGGACAAAAACAATTTTCATGGAATTTGGTGGAAATGGGTACTATAAAGCAAAGGCCACATGTTAAACCATTATATTGATGATTGTTACTGCCCCAGTACAAAATTTGGAACAAAAACTTGGTGTGTTTCACAAGTTTATACAACTGTGACAAACGTTTAAGAAAATGGCACATTGTGTGTGACATTATTACACCTATTTGCCAAAACAATAAGTGTGACTCAGCAGTTGGTCTCTTGTCACACTTCTGATTGTTCGAGCATTTGAGTCATCTATTGGACTCTGAGGGCCACTATGAGATAGACAGTTTATGCTCTTTCAGTTCAACGAGGGCCTAATAAAAATCACAGCAACTTCAGCGCATCTTAATGCTTATTCTGCTGCTGAGCATAAAACCGCCCCTGATGATCAAAGCGCAGCATAAAGCAGACCTCATTCTTAAAATCAGATCTCAGCAATCTCGAGGGTGACAGTGTACCAATTTCTTAGAGCCAAAGGAGATAACATGCTGAGCACTG